GAAATGTAAAGCAGTATCGCATAGAGCCATGATGAGGGTGAGCAGCAGCTAGGTGGCACCATAGTGCATAAAGCCCTGGGCTTGGAGTCAGGAAGACCCATCTTCATGAGTTCAAATCTGGCCTCAGACACTTACTAGCTGCATAACCCTGGGAAGGGGAGAAAGAGGCCATTCTTCACCTCATTTCTTACCTAGCCTTAATCACTGAATGGGCTTTGCCTCAGTCAAACTGAAACCTGGGAAAGACCTTCGTTTAAATAGGCCATGGTCTCCCACTGAATCCAGGGTCATCTCCAGTCATCCTGATCTATATCTTGCCCCTGGATCCAGATGGCTCCAGAGGAGAAAGTGAGGCTGGTGGCTTTGTACAGCCCTCCCTCACTTAAATCTAACTCCCTCGTAAGTCATAACATCACCTGATCCTCGTGTCATGATCCACTTAGAGAATGAAGGACAAACAACTTACATTGTGTGTGACCATGGGCAAGTCACTAAACCCTGTTTGCCTCAATTTCCTCATCTGCAAAATGAGCTGAAGAAGGAAATGGCAAACCACTCTAGTATCTCTGTCAAGAAAACTCCAAATGGAGTCACAAAGAGTCAGACATGATTGAAAAATGACTGGATAACAACTTCCTGACTCCAGGAACTACTAAAAAAACAAAAAAGATTGAACAACACTAATGCTTAAAGTGAAGTGCTGGCACCTTCAGCCCAGGGTGCAAAACTCTGGAAGATGATGACATCAGGATCATAGGCTCAGAGATTGGAACAAGAATGGACCTATCTGTGAGAATATCTAGTCTAATCTCCTCATTTCAGAGATGAGGTTAACTGAGGCCAGGTTGATAATCCTTCAGCAAGCAGAAACAACCAAGCTTAACATCTGGTTAGTGAGAATAAATAGTTGAAGTAGGAAGCTACCAGGTGCATGATACAGTGGAAAGAATGCTTGATTTGGCCTCATGGGACCTGGCTTCGAATCCTGGCTTTGTGACCTTGGGCAAGATACTTCATGTACCTGGGCCTCAGTTACCCTTTCTGTAGTTAGTCTAGATGGTCTCTGAGGCCCATTTCAATTCTAGATCTTTGGTCCTCTGATGGCTACCCTCCAGTATTTTGGCTTGACTCTGCCCTCCCTCTTCTTAGTGATGTCCTTCCTAGCAGTTGGTGTCTACCCATAGGGCCTTACTGAGGTTCTCTCCAATCATGACTGAATTTTTCTTCAAAAGTTGATTTAAGAGCATCTCTTGTGCTGCTTACCACAGACACTGGAGTGGTTGGTCACATCTAGGCTATTATAATTAATCAGTCAATCAACAAACATTTATTAAGCACTTACTCTGAGGAGGCCCTTGTCTTAGGTTGTAGTGTTACAAAGACAAAAGCAAATCCATCCAACTTCTACCAGGACAAAGAAATTATAGAAAATGCAAGGTAATTTTGTTGAGGTGGGGGACTAACTGTTGGAGGGAGGAAGGAGGAGGTCTCATCCAGAAGGTGGCCCTTGATCTTCATTTTGAAGGAAATCGAGGATCCAAGACAGAAAAGGGAACATTGTGTACGAGAGAAAACATGAACTATGGAGTGCACAGAGGAAAGTCACAAATGGGTGAGAAGGCTGGAAAGGTAAGAGGGAACCAGGTTGTGAAAAGTTTGCATTGATCTTATGAAACTGCCCCTTATAACATTGTTTCACCTATATTGCTTTAACCCATCTTTTACCATGCCCATAGAGGCAAGGCCATCGAGCCCAGAAATTCTAGGTAGTCTGCCTGACCAGGAGGCAGGTGCCTGGGGTCCCTCAAATCTTCCATGGCCAATATTCTGTCAGCATGGCAGATGGTGGATTAGCTTGTGTTTTCCTGGAACCAACTACCTACCATAGCTGAGGAATGCCTGTGGTCATTTCATTGATCACATGGCCTGTAGAATCAGGAATACATAGAGAACCTGTCAAGTTTGGGAGCTGCCCATATGAGATGTGTTGGCATATTGCATCAACCAGTGGCTGTTACGGGGATGGGGACAAAATGACCTCACCACAGAGTATCATAAAAGCCATCCTGGTTTAGCAAGTTGAAACTGAGATGCTCTGTCCCACCATTTGGACCACAAAAAACTAGGCCACATGGCTCTTAAATACGACCCACGATCACAACTCTTTTGAACAAACTCTGTCAAGGGGTATATCCTTAAAGGCTTAATTTATTATTGTGGAGATTGAGATAGGAACAGATGCCCTCCTAATATGAGCCTCCACATCTAATAAGGCATCCTATCACTGTGTGCTCTGAATATTGCAGGGAGACGTCTGAAATTTATTTTGTGAATAAAGCAATAACCCACTAAGCAAAGCTAATATGTTTCGGCACAAACAGAGAGACACCATCATCCAGTATTTATGCAGCCAGCTCATTCTCTGTGGTGCTACAGCTTTCACCATTAAAGTTGTTTGAATTCTTCAGAGACCCGTTTGTATTAAGTCACTTAGAAATATCACTGACTTAAAACAATCTGAATTATTGGATTTTTTTTTCCTTGCTGCTCTATTGTAAGCATGTTTGCCAGGGCAATTTCTATTAGGGCCAAAGGTGCAGTGTTATTAGTTCGGAATCCAGGGAAGTTCCTGAATCTTTATTTGGAGGCAGAATTATCTCCAGCAGTTGAAACAAAGAGAGATGTTACTGTTGAATATATTTTTTAAAACAACATAGAAACAAAACATTGATTTGCTTAAAAATAAAATTACTGAAGGTAGGGGGAGGGAGGCTGGTCTGCATGTGGATTTTTTCATGTTCTTTTAACAGACCCAGAAAAGCAAGGTCAAAAATGCAGGCTTACAATGGTGCTTAAGAGAAAATGACTGCAATTGAAAAGTTTCAATTTGCTGTTGATGAAATTTTTCTAAATTCATTTTACAGAATGAGGGGGCTGTCATTTACCCCATTGAACTCTTAAAGAGTGAAGATAAAAGTCCAATTCATGTACGGGTTTAACCTGCAATCTTCCCCTCCACCATCACCCAGCTTTATTCCGAATGGCTTTTTAATTCATTCCTTGCCTGGGTATCCCGGGTGTACGGCTTGCCTTTTGGGACTGCAACATATTCCGTTTCTCGCATTAATATGTTTATCCAAGCTCTGGGAAAATGTATGGGGGAGAGGTAACAGAAACACTGTATCCTCGTTGACAGCACAGCGCTCACTTAAATAGCCTGAGTGATTGCCAGCTCACCAGATCCCACCTTCTTCAGACAAACATCTGAGGCTTATGAAACAATTATTTACATTACATTAAAAACTTTAATTGCTTCAAAGCATGTACTCCCAGGCGCAAATATTGGAAAATCATCAAAAATAGCCGTCATGATTTGCTCTTTTTTCCAACTCTTCTAAACTTTATCTTTTTTATAACCTTCTGTATTGATCTATTGTCCCAGAACAAGAATGATGTAAGAAGCCCTGGCTTGGTCATAAAAGAGAATATCATTTCCATTTGCTGTCCATAAAAACAATTTTTAAAAAATAAAAAAAGGAACAGTGATTCTTTCTCTTTTTTTGGTGGTGGTGGTGGGGGTACAGGAGGTTGTGAAATAGAGAATGCTGTTGGAAAGCAGAGGGTGGGGTAGCCTGAGACACCCCAGGGACAGGCCGATCCCTCGGTGGGATCCTCTCTGCTCTAGAGGATGCTGTCTGGCTGGCAGTGTGCATGGATTCCTGACTCGGGCTGACAAGCCAGGGCACACGTGTTCTTAGAGCAGACGCCAGAAAGGGGCGGGCCGTGGGGAGCTGGTGGGGGGGGGGCGGCGGCGATAAAAAAAGCCGAGAAGAAACACTGCGCTCCCTCTGGTCCAGTCCCCGCGTGACACTTCCGCGCTCTCCAGGCTGCCCTCGGGGCGTTCGGGGTGGGAGTGGGAATTGTTGGAGCCCCAGGGGGTCCCCAGCTTCAGAACTGCCTCCAGGGCTGCTGTCCGCTCCTCCTCTTTCTCCCCCACGCCCCCATCACAATCTGATTTTGGTGATGATGATGATGGGACGCTCTCGAGCGCTGGAGCTCGGGGTGACCAGAGGAGGCTCCCGCGGCTGACTGGGGAAGGTCGCGCAGTGGTGACCCCCGGGCTGGGGTTGGGGAGCGGGAGGAGATGCGATCTCCGGATACAGATAGATTAGAGGCGGGGGAGCCATGGCCGCAGGAAGCGAGGGGGCTCAGATTGCAAAAGAAAACAGAAATCCTTGCAAAGTCTGAACTTTCTAATTTTCCCCGGAAGGGGAGGAAGGGAACAGGTGCGGGGGCAGCTCAGAGTTCCTCCCCTCCCCCAGTTTGGGAGATGGTCCCCCTTCCGGCCCCAGAGCCGCTCCCCTCCACCTCCCTCCAGGCCGGCTGCCCCCCTCCCCCCTCCGGATTTGCAGCCTTTATTGATCCGCACGCTACGTTACGTCAGTATTGATAAGTTTGCAAAAAGCCAAAGTCAAGTGCGATCCCGAGGCACCCTGCCCCCGGACTTGGGGGAAATGCCTGGAGCGCTCCTTCGGCCCCGGAAAAAGCTCTAGAGGGCCAGAGAGTAGGGCATCGGGCGGCGCTGGCGCCTTCTCCGCTTCCCCCCCACCTCCTTGTGTCCGTCTCCCCCCCCCATCCCCCTAGCCTAGCCCAGCCCCGCCGGCGGCTCCCAGACTCCCCGCCTCCGCCCGCGCCCTCCGCTCCGGGGGGTCGGAGGGGGCCAGCCGCCGGTTGCTGCTGCTGCTGCCGCTGCTGCCCAGCGCTCTCGGTTCCTCGGATCGGCGGCAGCAGGGTTGAGGAGGAGGAGGAGGAGGAAAAAGAGGAGGAGGAGGAGGAGAAAGAAGGGAGGGGGTGAGGAGCTGGTGCCGGGCTGGGGAGCGGGAGACACACACACACACACACACACACACACACACACACACACACACGCAGAGGAGGGAGGGTGGGAGACCACGCGGGGGCGGGGGAGAGCGCAAGAGGAGAAGAGCAGAGGAGGGAGGGGGGGCCGCCCGCGGCAGCCCCCAGGCTGGGGGAGTCCAGCCCAGATATTGAGTCTAGCCACTGAGAGAGCCAAACTCTTGTGTGTGTGTGTGCGTGTGTGTGCGTGTATGTGTGTATGTGTGTGTGTCTCTTCAATAGCCCCCAAGATGGCCGCCAATGTGGGATCGATGTTTCAATATTGGAAGCAGTTTGATCTACGACGGCTCCAGGTTAGTGGGGAAGCGCCGGCGGCGCGGCGTTGGGGGAGCCTCGGGACGCTCCCAGGGTGCCCCAGAGATGCCCCCGGGAGGGAGGGCGCCCGCTGGGCGCGGGGGTCGCGGCGGGGCCGGCCCGGAGAGGGGGGGACTCGGCCGCCGGCCGGCTCCCCATTGATAGGTATCAGAAATTGATTCAGGCGCTGCTCTTTGTTCGGTTCAATCATCGATTAGCGGCCGCGACCATGGAGCAGCGCTAGAGAGCTCCCCAAGCCTCGGCGGCGGCGGCGGCGGCGGCCGTGGTGGCGGAGGTGGCTGGCCCGGGGAGAGGAGCGGAGCCGAGAAGGCGCCGGAGGGGGTGGGGGGGTCCCCGGCTCGGGCGTGCTGCGCACCCCCAGCTCATCTCTCGGAGCTACCGCCCCGCTTGCCCGGCTCCCTTGCCTCACTTTCCCCGGCTCCCAACTTCTGGGAGACTGGAGAGGAGGAGGGGGGCGGCGGGGGGAGCGCACTGCGTGCCTCCCGGCTCCCGGCACTGGCGGGGAGACCTGGCACGGGAGGGGGAGCTAGGGAGAGAGGGAGGGGAAGGAGACAGAGAGAGGGAAAGGAGGAGGAGGAGGAGGAGGGAGACAGGCAGGGGGAGGAGAGGAGGAGGCTCCGCGCCCCGCCACCAGCAGCACCTCCACCGCCTTCACCACCGCCACCAGCGCCCGCCCGGCTGCGTAGGACCCGCCACCGCCGCCACTGCCGCCGCCTGCCAGACATCCGGGGCGGGCGACCCTGACCGCTGGGACTCTGTCGCCTCCTCTGACTTCTCCTTCTCTGTCCAATTCTTTTGGGGGTTTGTCATTTCTTCTTCCTTTTTTAATCTCCCCTCCCTATCCTTCCCCTCTCCTCCATTCCTGGTCGCTGAATCCCAAGCATCCTCCCTCGTCCGGAGCCTAGATTATAACAAAAACAGAAAACACAAACAAAATTGTGAGGGAAGGGGGCTCCGGGGCGCGGAAGTTTGCATTCCCACCTCTGAGAACTCTTAATAGACTGGGATAATTGCAAAGCAGGTGAATGCAGCCTAAACTACTGTTAACTTTTAAATGGCTGAGTTGTATGTATTCTTCTCTCCCTCTCTCCCCCTCTCCCTCCTTAGAGCGAAGCCCTTCCAGATCGAAGGGGAGTATCTGATCTAAGAAAAAACCTCTTAATCTCTCTCTCTCTCTCTCTCTCTCTCTCTCTCCTATTTCTTTCATCTCTCTTCCATCCCCCCCCCACCTCCCTTCTCTCGATCATCTTGGGTCCGCCCTGTTGGCGCCCAGGGGAAATGACAGGGGGAGATGGGATGGGGGTGATGGGGGGTCAATGTTGCGACTCGGTTAAGAGGGAGGGAAGGAGGAATTAAGTTGCCATCATTTCTGGAGTGCTTGGAACGCGCCCCTGCCTCTCGTTCTGACTGCTGCAGCGGCGGATTCCCCCATAAATGTTTAAATGTTTGAAGTAGCGATCACAGCGGGAGAAGTTGGGGGCAAATGGTGCGGATAACAGACCGATTATGGTATCCTGACTTGTTTGCCGTGACATTAGCTTAAGATAAAAGATAATCAGTTTGGAGATAAAAGAGACCAACCTATTTTTTTTTGGCCTATGTGCAAATCTTAAGTTTCTTCCAGCCGGAGCCTGTGGTTCCCTCCTCCCTTGCCCTGCCCTGCCCTTGCCTCCTTCCTAGTCTTCCTCCCTTCCAGGCTGCGGTCACCCCTCGTTCCCACTCCCCCCTACCCCCAGCCACTCACATCTTAAAAAGAAAAAATAAAATAAAGCTAGCTCGCCGTCTGCTAATAACCTGGAATATGAAAGTCACTTTCAGGTTCCCTTACCCAGGAGTTTTGCACGGGGGGGGGGGGGGATGGGAGGGGGGGGGGCTGGATACAGCAGTCTTTCAGTTTTCCTTTATAAATGCAGAAAGAAGGGGGGAAGAGAGAGAGAGAGAGAGAGAGAGAGAGAGAGAGAGAGAGAGAGAGAAGAAAAAAACAGCGTTTTCAAAGAGTGGGGTGAGGGAGCGTGTTGGGCTGGCTACCCTGTGTTGGGGGATGAAGGCCAATTGTAATTGTATTCCCTGCTAATGTTTGTAAATTAGAGCTGGGTACTCGGAGGGCACCAGCTCTTTATTTATGATTGATGTTCTGTAACATGGGGAATGACAAGAGCGTGGCAAGCAGATAGGGGAGAAAGCCTGAAGAACAAGGAAATCATCGCTGGGGCTGGCAAGAGCCCCCTTTGCGGTCCCATTGTTATTCAGGTCTTGAGAATTTAGCGTAGAGATTTACAGCCCTGCCACTTGGTTCCATTCATCCCTGAATGTCAGTTAACAAAATTTTCATTAGGCAACTAATATTCAATCTTGCAAATGGTGCACGGGGTGAGACTGGCTCTGGATGAGGGGGGGAGAAGAGTAGGTAGGTCGAGGGGGGTTGGAGCCCTGAGACGGTGCACATCTCTTCTCTGAGGCAGGAGAGACCTGCCTGGTTTTTCTTCTCCTCTTTAGGTCACAGAGATCTAGTGTTCAGCTGGAGTGCCATCGGTCTGTGAAATTAACCATAAGCCCTTTGTTCAAATGTATAAGAGGACATTTGACCTGGGGGGGGGGGCAGTGTTTACATTCAGACCATCTGATGGGAGTGAGAAATAAGGGAAAAATGAAAAGAGGCGAATGAACAAGATGTATGTAGCTGCCATATAGTAAAACAATAGCTTTGTGAATGTGACCAGTAATGAACAGACTTGAGTCCAACATGGAAACTAGTGGGAAAGGGAGAGTGGACTCATTTACATGGATATTGAGTGACTTTATTATTAAGTAGGATATTCCAGGGTTCCAGAGGCTGCTGCCTGCTTCCTATGGGAGCACTCGAAAATACAATGGAACAGTGACTCAATAATAAAGCAACAGCCCCAGCATTTAAAAAGTATTGGGGCTTTTAAGCAGATTACAGACCGCATTTGCAATGCTCCACCCTGGAAAGTATATACAGGTATCACAAATGGGTAGCTACGGCCAATGGTTATTTACAGCAGTTTTGTTCCAGACAGATTACAGAACTGAATGCTTTTTTTTTTTTTTTCCTAGGGATCATCCATTCTCTGGCACATAATACTGATGACATTTATGCAATACTGTCCCTCTCTGTTTTTTTTTTTTATTGTTGCCAGGAGAGGAAATAGGGGCAATAGTAGGAGGTGGGTAGAGAACCATTAGTTTTGGATGAAATGGAAAACTTTTGTCCACTAGCCGTTAAGCATCTGGGAGGACGAAGGGAAGGAAGTGGAGGAGACAGGTCCCAGGTTGACTTTGAGCCCGACTGTGCCTCTCTCTGTATAGCCTTAATTGTCAGTGTTCTGGCTGAGTGGCTTGCTACGTCTGGGTGCTGAGCTGGAAAGTGAACAACCCAGCAGAAGGGGCTGTCGCTGGGCCAGGACATGCTGCCGGCACCGCCCCTGGATCCTGGCAAGGAAGGTGACCTTGTACCAGCTTGGCCTACTGCCCTCCATTAAAAAAAGAAAGGAAAAAGAAAGAAAAGGGAAACTGTTCACTTTACAATTCCCTCGAAGGCTACATCTGTACACAGCAGGGCTGTTTACCTGCGGATGGGAGGACAGGCAGAGTGGACAGCAGTGATGAATTGTGGACATATGTAAAGCATGTTAGCTGAAGGGATCCAACACTGTGGAATGCTTTGATCAGAGAGACAGACCCCTGGCTGCCCGGTCTCCCCCCACCTTCCCTTTTTTTTTCTTTCCTTACTGCTAGCAGTTGAGGAGATGAGAACAGATAAAATTCTCTCCGAGATAATGCTGGGGCATATTTCATTTGGTTATGAGATTGCTTTATGGTGTACATTACTAATGCAGTATTTTTTTACAGCTTTCCTGTGTATCATAGCCATAACAGGATTCTTCATACCTTTATGATTTTTTTTGCTTTAATTTGCAGCCTTTAAAAAATTTTTTTTTTATTACATTCAGAGTATGGGCCTCTTTACTGCTGGGCCCTAGGTGTTTTCTTCACATGAGGTTCTGGGGAAAGCTCAGTGCCAGTCAGAGGTTTTCCATCCGAATACAGATCCTAGCTCTGATCTATACCTGATTGGGTTGGTTTTAAATTCCAGCGTCTCTCCTTGTCAGGGAACAGAAATGATCATGGTTGCAGCTTGAGTGTGTTTATCAAGGCAGAGTTGGCTCAGCAACAGAGATGCTTATAGGAAGTGGGGCAGAAAACCAGACTGGATGGAGTTTGGGGCAAAAACTTCAGTAGAAGAATAAGGTGTCTCCTGTCTTTGAGTGCTGGTTGATGTGGCTGGTGCCAGAGTTTGGCAAAGCACCTGCCAGGGATTGTGCTTCACGCAATGTTTTCTACTGTTCAAAGTTTAGGGAAAGAATGCGGATGTGATTAAAATATTATAACCTTATGATATTCTGAAGTGCATAAATTTTACATATCAGCTAGAGAGAATTTAGACATCCATTACATGATATGACAGGTTGACTTATCTAAATGTGCTATCATTTAACAATGTGTCAAAATTCTTCTTTCTATAGATGACAGCGGTAAATAAGCTATCAGTTTTGTTGGATGAAGCTTAACTTTGCAAACTTGGCTTAATGGAGTGTTCTTGCTGGGGGGTGGGAGGGTGAGTGCGGTATTGGTAGGCAGGAAAGCCTGCCATGACTTTCCCCTTGAGATACAGGCTGTCTTTTAAGGTTGATTCTTTAGAGAGGCTTGACCAGTGTCCCATATGAGTCCTCGGCCTATGGCAGAGAAAAGAGGAAGGAGGGTGGGAAATGTTCCTGGCATTTTCTGCCCCTTCCCTAGCCTTCCCGACACCCCTGTCATCTGTAAAGAGAACAATGAACATTCAAATGAACCAGACTCCATCTGTAGCCAGCCCCAGTGGGCTACTGCATCCTGCCATTCTCTGGGAATCTCTATGATTCCCTAGGACAGAAGGCCATGGCAGGAAGGCGGTGTA